ATGGTTGAAACTCAATGACTCACTCATTAACAGTCACTTGCTGCCACCTACTGTCGGTTTTAATTTCACATTTCATCATGTTTCAATTTCAAATATCAGTATTGAACATTTTATGTTAAAAACAAAACATTATTTATTCATCTGTAACTGCAAGTTAAATGCATCCATGTCCCCTCTGAGCTACATAAACTGTGATTTTATATATATTATTTTTATTAGCTTCTTTTCCATTTTGCATTTACTTGTACTTTTACTTTCAATACTTAAGTACGTTTAAGATTTAAAAAATACTTTTCGTACTTAAGTACAATAAATATCACATACTTTAAGACTTTTACTCAAGTAATATTCTAAACGGTGACTTCAACTTCTACCGAAGTCATTTTCTGGTAAGATATCCGTACGTTTACTTGAGTATGGCTTTCAGGTACTTTATACAGCACTGATGAATGATTCATTGACTGATTCTTTGAGACTCAATGCCACCTACAGGTGCTTTAGATTCGTATTTAGAGCGTATCATTTGAATTTTTTAATCAATTTGTAGCTCAATATTCAATTAAAAATATCAATACCCATTTATTATAATTTTTCATGCAATGTTGAATCGAAATGTTTCTCTCTAAAGCTACTTTTTTGTAATGTCTATTCAATGCTTTACTCTCCTCATGGGGTGATTAATGTGCTATTACTTAGATTCATTAATTGGTACGTCATGTAGCCTTCATCATTGGTCACTGTTCTAATATGGCAGCCCATAGAGACATCAGCATATTCTGTTGAGACTTTACCGATGATCAGGAACAGAGGGTTCAGGAAGTCAAACTTCAGCATTTTCTTGATGTTGGTCACAAATGGGTCTTTAGGGTTGTTGAGAGAGTCGATGTCGACGCTGAACGCCGTGCTGGTCACCACATCCATACTGTACGCCCCGAAGAACCTGAACACATGCAGACCAGAGAGAGAGCTAATGCTCAGTTACTCTGATAAATATATTCTCTTTCATTCGTGTGACTTTTTACAGTCGGCTGATGTATTTATGACCATCAGCAAAGCAAAGAACGGTAACACTTTATTTTAATGTGTCCTTGTTACACACGTTACATGTACTTACTATTATAATAACAATAAATGATGCATAATTACATGCAAGTAACCCTAAGCCAAACCCCAATCCTAACCCTAAACATATAGTAAGTACATGTATTTATTAAAATTACTCAGTACTTAAATGCATAGTTACACTGAAACAAGTACACCTTAAAATAAAGTGTAACCCGAAGAACTAGTGGTCAAAACAACAGAGATGCCAAGAAAACTGCTGATTATTGATCCAGAAAACCTTTTAGATATCATTTATTTATATGAAATCCTTGGTTTTCCTCTGTATAGCAGCGCTTCATCCTGAGATCTGTGATTATTTAGTGGGGTCTGTCTGACTTCATATATGTATGTGTTTTCTGGCTTGGATCAAATCCAGCGATCAGCAGTTTTTCCAAAGTATCTCTGTTCATGTTTGTTAATTTCACCGCCGTTACTTTGCCCCACTGATCATTAGAGGTTATAAAAGCTTATTAGTCAGGTATTTGAGCACCTTTGCTCTGGTGATTATAATATAGTGATATAATTATTCTTATCTGTCCAGATTACAAGAAGCCATGGTTCATGATATTAGTAAGACTCACTCTTTAATATCCACGGCTTCTCCTCGCATCGCAGTTTTCCCCAGATTATCAACCAGAATGTGAGAGTGAGTCTTCATGATGCCGAACATCTAGAGCGAGGAACGCAGTGTATCATCATCATCATCATCAACTCATCTGAATCAGTAATGTCTGGACAGTGCTCCTGGAAATGCCTCTTTCATATTTTAGTGAATCAAACACACTTCAGCTTCAATGATTCTGTAGGTCAAACGACTTTTTTGTTCAATGATTACTTCAGATAAGTTATTAAACATCTACAGTTGTAACTCTTGTTACCTGATCAAACACAGATGATGCATCAGTTACCTAATGTGAATCACTTGCTCTGAGCAGCTCAGCATGAATGACTCTGTAGTTAAAACGAGTCATTGTACATCTTGAGCTGAAATCGTGCAAGTACTGTAACATGTAATCACTAGAGATATTAACTGTTAGAGGACTATTAAAGCATGAGAAGGATGCAGATGCAGATAATAGAATAAAGCATGAAGTATAAAGTATAAAGTGAATCATTAGTTCAGCTCAGCTCCAGTCTGGGTTTCTCTCTCAGATGACTGACGGTTTATATGTGGCATTATCAAACAGAAGAGGACATGTATGTGTGAGTGACTCCAGACTCACAGACCTCCTTTAACCTCCCGCTGGTGAAGGAGGGCGAGAGGACGCTGCGGATCCTCCTCCAGTCGTCGTCTTCAACGATGGACACGGCGTCGTACAGCGGCCCGTTCAGACGGAAGTTCTGCCGGTTCAGAGGACAAACCCAGATGAAACCACAAAAACACAAACACAAACATGTACTGTTCCATCGGCTGGAAAACATTCCAGTCATGCAGATTTATTATTATTACTATTGAAAGAATTGCATTTTCTGCTCAAGTCCCTCTGTATTTTACAGAGCTCTAAAGTGGACACGGTGACTGAAAACAATAGCTTGCAAAACTTTCGCATTTTCTTGCTTTGTCAGCAAGGTCCATCACTCTACATTCAGGGCAGATCAAATCAGTATTTGACGAGGCTGATTTAATTTCAGAACGAAGATGATGAAGATGATTTTACCCTTCTGTTGGTGAAGAGAGAGTAGCATTCTTTAACCAGGATGGTTTTGATGATGGATTGGTCCATGATGCACAGAACAGGCTGCCTCGCATCGTAGATACTGCGAGAAACACAAACAATATTGACATTCAATTCAGAAGAATGATTTCTGCTTCTCGTCTGTTCTAATCATGAATTCACTGGAATTGAATAAATTATTCACTCTCAGTGACGTGATTCATCACGACCCTCAAAAGCTCTCATAAACACAAGAGTTTCAAATACGTTTTTCATTTAATTGTTATTGAATCATTTCAGTTTGTGAACCAGATGTTCTGATTCTTTCATAGCTTCATCCGCAAGTCTCACACTCACCCCCAGACTCGTCCATACTTCTCGAAACACTCCACATCGAAGTGATGAACACCCTGAAAGAGCAGATTATGATAAGACACTGAGAGCACAGGAGACGACGCTGAAGTGTGCTCGAGATCATTCAATCATTAGAGCGGATGAATCTTTAGCAAACCTGAGTCAAGTCAACCTGCAGGAGCTCATCACAGGTCAGTGTTTGCTCGAACACACAACTCACCTTTCTATATTCCAGGATCGTTCCGAAGAACGGCAGAGGTTTGGGCCCCGGGATGCCCAGCTTCTTGAAGACACCATGAGGCCAGGATCCATATCTGGAAATGACACCAGAATCTTTTTAGACAGATGTTATGACATCAGCTACAGTCGTGTGCTTGAGAATCACGTTCTTCTGCTACGAAGTGTGTCCGTTCATGTGAGTCAAACACACTGTTTACTGAATCCTCGACATACAGAAATGTATTATGACATACTGTATATTGTCCTGTATCAAGACTGTTACTGTCTTATATGTTACCAATAAAGCCATATCATTTTCACATACATGAAAAAATTAAATACTTCTGGTCATTATCTGGGTAGATGAACGAGATTATAACATATAAAATCCCCTTAGTAAAATTTGTATATGTACATATTTTAATAATATCTATATTCTGACATTTATGATATTATTTGTTGCAACCAAGTGTCAACAATATATATTTTATGCAAATGTATTAAAACAACATGTGTGCCAAAAATATGTATGCTTTTGTAATATTTCTAATACATGACATTTATGCCCAGAAATGTATTACACATTCATACTGTAAACACAGATATTTGAATGGGCTATATATGCATGTTAATATATGAAATTATTCCAGTTTCATGTTCCTTGTTTTTATTTCATATGACAATATATCTCATATGGAAATTTAATAGATGCACATATATTAGATTTCTGTGTGGATTTTTATGAAGATACAACTAGAACTAGTTCTTCAGTTGAACAGAGCGTCACTTACATGAAGAGAAGCGCCACAAACAGCACGAGCAGAGCCCATGTTTCAGCAGAGAAGAACAGACCGTAGCTCATGGTTTCTGCTCCAGGACGCTCAGACTATAGAAACACTGGCAGCGAGCAGCAGCAGCAGCTTTATTCTGCTCTCAGATTACACATTAACCAGTGGAGAAGAGCCTCACAAACACACCCACAGCGTCACGCTCACCTCTGAACACACTCACAATCTCTGCCGTGTTGGGTCTGTTCACTGCTGAACTTAGCTGAACTCATCGATCCCACCACAAAGGTGGGATTTTTTCCCCACTTTGTTGTTGTAGTGTAGTGTTTCTGGTTCAAAATGACCGGCCTACAAAAAATAGTTTATAAATCTCTCATTATGGTATATTATCACCAAATATTGGATTCCATCTTTTTATCAACTTGCTTATACATCAAAAAGCATAATTTGTGGATTATTAGTAGAAATTGTACATAAAATATGAAAGAATGCACTGTTTATTACAGTATTGCGCTTTAAAGGAAACATATGTGACCCTGGAGCACAAAACCAGTCTTAAAGGGGTCATATGATGCGATTTCAATTGTTCCTTTCTCTTTGGAGTGTTACAAGCTCTTGGTGCATAAAGAAGATCTGTAAAGTTGCAAAGACTAAAGTCTCAAATCCAAAGAGATATTCTTTATAAAAGTTAAGAGTCAGCCACACCTACCTAAAACGGTGCAGCTAAACACAGAACAGTTAGCATGTTTTGCTCAAACTTTCATCATGGCATTAGAGCTGCTACACTGTTGTCGCTTGCGAAATCAAAATAACGGCGCCGTGGGTGGAAACTTACAGATTAAGGGGCAGTAATATTATAATGAGATCCCTTTACCACGTCACCAAGGGAGTGAAATCAGACGCGCTGGTTTTCTCAGACGCTTGCAGAAAAAGGCTTCCCAAAACAAAGTTACTGGGTTAATCTTTTTCACGTTTCCTTGGTTGGTAGATGCACTGGGGACCTGATTATAGCACTTAAAACCTGGAAAAGTCAGATTTTCATGATATGTCACCTTTAATGTTTAATGAAAATGAAGTTTGTTTTTAGATGTTTTATCTTGTACAAAATGGTACAAAGTCACACTTGTAGTGTTCATAATCAAAAAGATTTAATCCAATATTTGGTGATAATAAAGCATAATTTTCTCTTTGTATGCCAAATTATTATTTAAACTCTGTATGATTGTGTAAACAGGCACCAGAGTCATAGACATCACACACACGTCAGATACATATCTGCAGACCTTAATTGATTTGATACATTTCATTTAATATTTCCATTTTATTTCCTTCAAGGTTAACCTAATGTAATCTCTTTTCTCAATCATCACAAAGTAAAACCTCTAAATATGAATCTCATGGCATCATCATTTCCACTCTCAGAAAGTCCCAGATGACAGCAGAAACTGTCCAAAAAGTAAAGAAAGTTACTGATCTCTCAGTCCGAGTCCGAAAGACCCGGAGAATCCTTCTCTTCACTGAAGACTAGAGACTACGTCTATTCTTTTATTTTAAAAGACCGATCAAACCTCCTCCTCGGACTGAAAGAGAAGCGTGCAGCAGATGAACAGTGGTTCAGGAGCTGCTCTACGATGTGTTGTTGTTACAGATATCTTCTGTGAGGGAAACTTTCCGAGGCTTGAGCTTGAGTTTGATGGGCTCTTTGGGAGAAAGGAAACCGTTGATGCCGAGCTCCAGAGGAACCTGTGAAGAGCAAGAGAAGGTGAGTGTGAGTGAAGGAACACAGTCCTCCTGTGAGACCATGTGGAGGATCCGTCTGCTCACCTGAGTCTGGTCACAGACGGAGACGTCGAACCTCTGCAGGATCTCCACGATGGCCAGCTTCATGGTCACCTGAGCAAACCTCATCCCGATGCAGTTCCTGGGCCCCAGACCGAAGGGCATGTACATGTAGGGGTCGATCGACTCCTTGTTGTCTTTAGTGAACCTGGGAATGAAGCAGAAGCAGTTACTCTGAAGAACCACTGAGATGTTGGGTTTTAGAGTGAACTCAGGTGTGTGTTTCTCTGGCTCTAGTTCTCTACAGTGCTGTGTTTTGTGGTTAATGACTGACCTCTCGGGTTTGAAGCTCTCCGGGTCGCTCCAGTAATCCGGGTCTCTGTGAAGCGCGTATGTCGGGATCATCACCACCACGTCTTTAGGGATGAGGAGGCCGTTGATATCCACCGTTTTCTTACAGACCCGCCCGAGCTCGAGTCGACCAGCGACGGGGAACAGCCGCAGAGACTCGTTCAGCGCCGCGTCCAGATACTCCATGTTCATGACGGCTTCATAGTCCACCGGAGCCTTCAACACAGTTCAGAGCTTAACCTCTCAAACTCTTCACACTTACAGATTCACTCAGTTCTCCGAGCTCTACCTTATCAGGGAAGGTCTGGTCGATCTCCTCCTGCAGTTTCTTCATGGCCTCTGGGTTGGTTGCCAGATTGTAAAAGAAGAAGGACAGAGTGCTGCTGCTGGTCTCGTACCCGGCGAAGATGAAGATCATGGACTGCGAGAGGATCTCGTGGTCGCTCAGACCTGCACAGGACACCGTGTGAGGAACGTTTCTTCAAATACGGTACAAGCTCTTAACGCTCTGAGATGCTTCACCTTTCTCTGTGTGTTCGTTGCTGCTTCCGTGCTCAGTTTTCCCTGCTGTCTGAGAATCGACCATCAGCTGCAGGAAGTCCACTCGCTTCTACAGGAAGATGCATGCGATTATATTTACGCTCATGCATTTGGCAGATGCTTCTATCTACTTTGGCATTGTTCGTGTGAAGTGTTTGTCTTACCTTCTTGTGGTCCTTGGCCACTCTTTCGGACTTGATCTTCTTTAAGGCAGCGTAGAAAAAATCGGTCACAGATGTCGGGAAGAGGGCGTAATTCATTTTGTCCAGGACAGGGGTGATGAAAGGAAATAAAGCTAGTGAAGAAACCGAAAAGGGTCAGAAAGTTTCCTACGCTCAATTGTGTTGAACTGACAGGACTAATTGAGCTGTTTACCGGTGAACAGGAACAGAGGGTTCAGGAAGTCAAACTTCAGCATTTTCTTGATGTTGGTCACAAATGGGTCTTTAGGGTTGTTGAGAGAGTCGATGTCGACGCTGAACGCCGTGCTGGTCACCACATCCATACTGTACGCCCCGAAGAACCTGAACACATGCAGACCAGAGAGAGCTATTGTCATCTGATAAACATATAACCTATATTCTCTATAAATAGTGAATGTTCTCCATGAATATTATCAGTCTATATAGGTTATTACAGGTTATTGGTGAGGCATTTGAACACCTCTGGTCTGTAATTAAAGTGATATTATTGCAGCTCTGTTCTTATCTATTCAGATAACAACAGGCCATATGTGGTATTATGTAAGACTCTCGAATATGCGACTCACTCTTTAATATCCACGGCTTCTCCTCGCGTCGCTGTTTTCCCCAGATTATCAACCAGAATGTGAGAGTGAGTCTTCATGATGCCAAACATCTAGAGCGAGGAACGCAGTGTATCATCATCATCATCATCAACTCAAACCATCTTCATCACACACAGGTAACAGTGATATTTTAATACAAGCCTGAAGTGAATCAAACAGCATGAATCTTTCTGTAGTTCAAACGAGTCATTTTACAATTTGAGCTGAATTCGTGTATATTTGTACCACAGCATAGTATTACTGCCTTCAAGTTCTGCTTCAGATAAGAGATATTAACTAGAGCTATAACACTTGTTAGCCTGAGAATGACACGGATAAAGAGAAGATAAATCATCAATAAATCCTAATGTGAATCACTTGCTCTGAGCAGCTCAGCATGAATGACTCTGTAGTTCAAACGAGTCATTGTACATCTTGAGCTGAAATCTTGCCAGTACTGTAACATGTAATCACTAGAGATATTAACTGTTAGAGGACTATTAAAGCATGAGAAGGATGCAGATGCAGATAATAGAATAAAGCATGAAGTATAAAGTATAAAGTGAATCATTAGTTCAGCTCAGCTCCAGTCTGGGTTTCTCTCTCAGATGACTGACGGTTTATATGTGGCATTATCAAACAGAAGAGGACATGTATGTGTGAGTGACTCCAGACTCACAGACCTCCTTTAACCTCCCGCTGGTGAAGGAGGGCGAGAGGACGCTGCGGATCCTCCTCCAGTCGTCGTCTTCAACGATGGACACGGCGTCGTACAGCGGCCCGTTCAGACGGAAGTTCTGCCGGTTCAGAGGACAAACCCAGATGAAACCACAACACAAACACAAACACGTACTGTTCCATCGGCCGGAAAACATTCCAGTCATGCAGATTTATTATTATTACTATTGAAAGAATAGCATTTTCTGCTCAAGTCCCTCTGTATTTTACAGAGCTCTAAAGTGGACACGGTGACTGAAAACAATAGCTTGCAAAACTTTCGCATTTTCTTGCTTTGTCAGCAAGGTCCATCACTCTACATTCAGGGCAGATCAAATCAGTATTTGACGAGGCTGATTTAATTTCAGAACGAAGATGATGAAGATGATTTTACCCTTCTGTTGGTGAAGAGAGAGTAGCATTCTTTAACCAGGATGGTTTTGATGATGGATTGGTCCATGATGCACAGAACAGGCTGCCTCGCATCGTAGATACTGCGAGAAACACAAACAATATTGACATTCAATTCAGAAGAATGATTTAGTTCATTATAATAATAACTCCACCAGAATTTGTACGAGGTTTGTGAGCTCTGTGAGGTTTCATAGTCTGACACTCACCCCCAGACTCGTCCATACTTCTTGAAACACTCCACATCGAAGTTGTGAAACCCCTGAAAATGACAGATGTGTTCACGTTCAGAGACGAACCCAAAGAGTCATCAAAGAAACACTGCGAGAGGACTATGAAAAGAAGTGAAGCTGAAGTAACAACATCCAGATTCACATCACATTCCTTCAATAAAGCGAGCGGATCTGAACTGAAAGACTGACGGAGAATCAGGAGATCATCAACATCCAAACGTGTCCAAAGCTCAGTTTAACACAATACCAGACTCATGCTGCTTTAAGACTACAGACTCGCCTTTCTATATTCCAGCATCGTTCCGAAGAACGGCAGGGCTTTGGGCCCCGGGATGCCCAGCTTCTTGAAGATACCATGAGGCCAGGATCCATATCTAGAAATGACATCAGAATCTTTTTAGACAGATGTTATGACATTACCAGCAGCAGATCTTGCTACTGATTGCTTTGGGGGTTTAAACTGCTAGACCTTTGACAGAAGACGACTGTAATTCTTCAAACTCATTACTTACTGACTCATTCATATTAAGATTCCAGAACTAGAACTAGTTCTTCAGTTGAACAGAACATCACTTACATGAACAGAAGCGCCACAAACAGCATGAGCAGAGCCCATGTTTCAGCAGAGAAGAACAGACCGTAGCTCATGGTTTCTGCTCCGGGACGCTCAGACTATAGAAACACTGGCAGCGAGCAGCAGCAGCTTTATTCTGCTCTCAGATTACACATTAACCAGTGGAGAAGAGCCTCACAAACACACCCACAGCGTCACGCTCACCTCTGAACACACTCACTGCTGTTCATCAACCCCCGCAGCACCATCAGGCTTACATAAACCGCCAGGACTAGTCTAACAGCTACGACACTGCTCAAAACATTATTCATTCTGTTACATAACCACATAGATTGGTCAAATTCGATACAGAAAAGTGAGACTGATTACCCCTTGGTTAACCGCTAGATGGTCAGACTAGTTCTTCAGACATAGTGACTATGTTTATGCAACTTTATATTGTGTTTGTTCTCTGTTCTAGTCACAATTCCTGCTTTAATCCAGCTGTATTTCTTTCTTTTTGATATGTATTTTACGTCTCTTTTCCTAGAATATGACCGTTTCTGTTTGTTTTTCACTTCTCAGAGGAAAGACAAAGATCAGTCTTTGAGGGATTGTTTGCTCTGGACAGCACTGAGATCGAACGGAGAGCAAACAGAGTCCATAGGGAAACGTGTCTACACTTTACTCGTACTGTACTGGATGTAACTACTGGCTGATTCATTATTTCTCCTGAAGAATTTAGGGCTCAACATGTTCTCAACATGTCTGCTTTCTAATCTAGTTTACCTGGTATGGTATATCATGACTGTTGTTTGACTCTTTGACGAATTGCCTCTATTGTAAATCATTTAGATAAAAGCATCTGCTAAATGCATTAATGAAGATGTTAAAAAAAAACCTGGCATGTAAATGTAAACATACTTGTGTATTGTGTAAATATATGCATGACTTGTATAAATGTGACTTATAGTATAAATGTAAACATAAATATTGTGTAAATGTAGCTTATCATGTAAATGTAAACATAATTGTGTAAATGTATACATAACTTATTATTGTATAAATGTAAATATTCATCTGCTGTAAATGTAAATCTAAATGTGACTTGTGTGAATGTAAACTTAACCATATAAATGTAAAAGTAACTATTGTGTAAATATTAACTAAGAAACATCATGTCTCCTGAAGCAACGTCTGACCAGTTTTCCTCCAGTATTTTCACAGAGCTGAAGCTGTGATGTTTTATTTAATCTCTTTAACCTGAGGTCGGAGTGTGGCTTATTCAGCATGAGTGTTTTTAAACCAAACTAGTGTGTGTTTTTAATTATACTGGTGTTGACTCTTTGGCCTCGTATTTTATGGCTCCTCTTTCTTGACTAATGGTCATGTGTTCAGCTTCTATCAATCAGTCACTGACCGCGATGAGGTTTTGACACGCACATGACATCATGGTGTTGTACTTACTCTACAGAGTGAGCGTGAGTAGCTTGATAAGATTAGCATGCGCACATGAGTTCGTTTCATGGCTCACTTGCTTTGGCCGTATGTAAACATAGCATCTGCAGAGGTTCACAGTCTCTCCAGTAACCATAGAAACCAGCAGTGTGATCCAGTGGCTCCTGGGACTGGGTCTCAGATGCTCTGTTTTTCTCTCTAAACTGCTTTTGATTGTGCAAACAGAAACTAGAGTCCACCAACACCAGCCCTCATTTCAAGAAAGTATTTTCCCACTCCGTGCAGAAGAATGGAGGAGGAGGAGTGAACGGCTCATGTTTTACGGCTCTCAGGTTGCGTGTTTATGAGCACGCAGTCGTTCCCGGGGCAGGTCTGGGCTTGTTCTTCTGGGAATGTGGGAAACAACCTGTTAGATGATACAGGTGACGTGTGTCATTCATGCAACAACTGCAGTCTGACCTAAATAATGACTGTTTTCCAAACAGGTTTCCCAGACACTCCTCCGATCTGCCCCACAAAGTCCCAATAAAGTCAGCTATAATGCTATGCTAATTATGGGGTACTTACAAGTATAAATATATTTACATTGCAGTTCTTGCACATAAGGATTAGTGAATATACGAATATTAAAACATGCTATTTTTTTACTCTTCAGCTGATAATTAGTATCCACCTTATTTTGCAACACAGACGCAAGTTTTTTCTGTGAATGCATGTACTAAAAATATATGTGCTACAAACCAGTGTTAATGATTATGACAACAAATTAAAATCATATAAGAAATACCAGTTTGCAATATAAAGCACAAAGGACTGTTTTTGGACAGTTAAAATAACTGGAAGCAAACTGGCATGTTTGTATAAAGTGAAAGTGATCATAAAGTTAATGGCATTCACAAGTAACATTCCCGTAATGTTTTCAAAATGAAACATTCCCTAAAGAGAAACATTTCTAAAGCATTTTAAAATAGATGTTTGAAACGTTCAGAGAACATTCAAAAATAACATTTTTATAACTTAATGGGAATGTGAGCAAAACATTCACAAAGCGTATTACAGACACAGTTTTTAATATAAGATTTTTATATTAATTCATAAAATACTGTCCATTTTAACTGACATTGATAGTAGGAGATAAACAAGAGGGACACGGGTGGATTGGGATTCAAAAGGAAACCCATATCAAAAAACAAAACAAAACAAACAAAAAGAGAAGAGCTAAACCTGTGAGAAAGAACGTGAGTTCACTGCAGTTGTGCTCCATAGCATGAGAAATGCGTCGATCACAGAGTTATCTGTATCATGTGTGATGTTTGATCAGTCATAATCATCGTTCAGAGGGCAGCAATCTCAGTAACTCTCTACCAGTTTAGTGCACATTTAGTTTATGTAATAGTAATAGTTCTGAGTCATCATTAACATGTATAATTCCTGAGACAGTTTCGGAGGTCTGGTTCATAAAGTGTGGTGCAGCAATTAAAGATAAAGTGTCAATAACAAAAAAGTTACAGGCTCTAATCCTACAAGGCCTGATTATTCCATATCCATTGTATCCTCAAGCAAAATGCCAAAAAAGGAATATTTTCCCATAGGAACTGGGGGAATGAAGAACTAAAGGGGACATTAAAATGGTGAAAACCTTGAAAGAAATGGTGGCAATGGAGAAATGGTGGTTCACATTCACACACATTTTGACTTGACATCTTATGTTAGAAAATTAATCGAAGTGCAGACGAGGGACAACTTTGAAACTGTCTGGAGTGTGTTCCTTTAAAACTGGAGGGTTTTGTCTGAGTATGTTCTCACAACATTGAGCAGCAACTGATGAGCAGTTAAACCGGGAACTGAACTAACGTTAGTCAAAATGGTGCTTGAGGACATGGATCAAAACTAACCATAATAAATTGCAAACAATATTTGAATTAAATAAAACAGTCCACCATTGATACATTACCTGATATATAATGTATGTATCGTTTCAGAGCAATGTGTTGTAGCCACTGTAACTACATGGAACAAGGGAGGAACAAGTTGGACTTAAACACAGAACAAGTGTATATTTGCACAGTAATTACAGAGAAAAATATTGCACTAGTTTTAATTTAATTGTTTGATGGCCAAATTAAACCCTCTACTTTTTTTGCTATAAAAACACCACAGTATACATCCACTGAAATACAAATGTTGTATCATGTATTTTTTCTGCGAACAGCTGGAAAGAGGTAAACTTGTTTTAAGCTGCATTGAACCTTGATGGAATATCATGCAAAGTTATTTGGTGATAGTGGTGTTGAGAAGTTGCTGGTGTGAAGTTGCTGAAATCGACGAATAAGCTTTCATAAGGTAAGTAGACTCGTGAATTATAAATCAGCAGAAACTCATTAACTCATTTCACTAGATGCCCAGTGTTGTTCAGTAATCTCCATCATGTCCATCCTTTAATAATAGAATGTGTACCCCATGGTTAAAAAATACCTAATATGCCTATAATAAAATACCAATATAAAATTATAAAAAGTATATATCGTCTTTTCTAAATCATTCCCAAACATAAGATTGTTGCTTAGGCCATACGTCCCACGTAATATTAGAATAGGTACCTCTTAGTTTCAAAATACTTACAGTATAAATGATTGATAATTGATAATGATAATTTTACAGGTTGTTACCCCTTTATTCCCCAAACTTCGCATATTATTCCCTTATACCTACAAGGAGGTACTGAATAGGTACACTATAATTACAAAAAAAGTTACACTGTAACTTCAGTTTACTTACGCAGTTCTTTGCAGGTTGCATATCTGGTTGTTACCCCCTTATTACCCAAACGTAACACATTGTTCCCTTATACCTACACATATGTTCTTTATAGGTACACTATAATTACAGAAAATACCTATACGGAGGTACTGAATAGGTACACTATAATTACAAAAAAGTTACACTGTAACTTCAGTTTACTTACGCAGTTCTTTGCAGGTTGCATATCTGGTTGTTACCCCCTTATTACCCAAACGTAACACATTGTTCCCTTATACCTACCTGCATGTTCTTTATAGGTACACTATAATTACAGAAACTTCACCGTAAATTCAGTATACTTACGTAGTTCTTTGCGGGTTGTAATCTAAAGCGTTACCGGATTTTGAATAGTGAATTTACTGTGGTGAATATGAAATTTTGCAAGAAGTAATAATAGGTTAATAATAAAATATTAATTAATTTGATCTTTTTGTATATTAAAGAAGCCAAACAGTACATCCTTAAAAAGCAAAGAGAAACCCTGGAGCACACTGCGATTGATAACATTAGAAAATTCAATCCAAAATAGCTGTGTGTGAGGACAATCCCAAAAGATATGCATATCAGTTTCATTAGGGTCACCACAAAAAGAACAGCTTGTATCTATGTCTGATTTAAACCTTTTCAAAAACACTTTAGATGCTCTCTGTTTTATCTCTTTATAGGCCCTTTTCACATGACGTCACGCAACTTCCGTTCTCACGCGAAGCAGGGTATTCTTACTTCCGCCAGCTTAGTAAGCGCTATGGCTTCCTATATTATTTAATATAATGAGTAATGATATATTTGGAAAAGTGGCTCTGGGAATTAGCACTGGATTATATGCAGACGATGGTATAATGTGGAAAAGAGGAAGGAATATATCTTTTAATATGAAT